CCAGTTAGGAGCTTGATAATGAGTAGCTAATCAAATTGGTTTGCAAACATACAATTAAGTTCTTTTATAAGCTTAAATTGACTTAAGCTCGAGCAATGTACGTATTAAAGTTATACATAATTACATATCTTACACCACTTCGTTTCATCACTTGAATGTTCATGGAGTTAGTTATTCTAAGTTTTTGTTTAACTTGAATATGAGTTTTGAATTATTTGTGTCATGTACACCTTTTAATTTGTGGCTGTAAGTAAATACTTTCCACAGATGCGTTGATCCGAAAAACCCGCAACTCGATCAACCCGCAACTCGCCCGATCTGAAACCCGATAAACCCGCAACCCGATTTGCCCGCAACCCGATTGAACCTTAATCCGATGAACCCGCAACCCGATTGAGCTCGACCCGATGAACCTGCAAACTGATGAACCTGAAATCCGACTAACCAAAACCCAATTGAACCCCGCCCAAACCTGCCCTATTGACACCTATAGCCATGAGGGTGAGAGGTTTGCTTGCAAAAAGAATTGCAAAAGCTTGGTGCAATATGCGTCAACGTGGAAAAATGGGACTAATAAACGACAACTCGTAATCGTAAGAAAGAATAAAAATCATCTTCGTGAGTTCTTGTGCTTATTAGTGTCAGAGAATCCCCCGGAACACACTTTGTATGTCCGGCCTAAGGTAGTAGGTATAGTCCTCACCCGCGAGTTTGTGATTACAAATCCCTTACCTCCAGGCTCCAGCCCCTTCAGGAAGCTAGCGTCGAGCGGCAGAAACGAGCTTTGCTGGTGACCTATGCGGCAGCTGCTGGCTTGCAGTGGTGGATTGGAGGATATGATGATGGAGTTGCGATGGAAAAGAGATGAGGGTTTCCGCACTTGTGCAGCGCCATCAGCTTTCTTATGCTCCTCAATCAGACCTCGTCCCTCTCCACCGTAGACGCTCGCTCTCCTTCTTTTGATTTACGCTTGGTAACCCTAATGCAAACTCTCTATTTATCCCTCTTTATAATTTTCACTCTCATTCTAAAGCCCTAACAATGATTCGCAACCCAATTTGGCAGTCCATGCCTTTCAATGACCAAGTTCCAATGGCCCACACTACTAACACCGTCCTTTTTACTTTGGAATCCTCTTAAACAATACCCACCACGTGACCAATCTGAATTTGGTGTCTTTCTTTTCATTATCTAGTCGTAGGAGAAACCTGGTTCATAAATCCCAATCTCATCCTAATTGAGTAATTGGACCTTGATCATTTGGTTGATCCGGTTCGAGTTTTTGTAAGTAACCGTGAATCAACTCATGTATTTATTATCGGTTGAACTCAAAACCCAAAAGTTGGGGTGTTACACGGCTTTTTTTTTTGGGTGTTATACGACCTTTCCTTCACTTCCAAACCGCAGTGGAAACAAAACAAAAAAACCCCAGCCCCTCGTTCCACTAGTCGTCGCCCGCGTGCATAAGAAATCTCGGCCACTTTCCCCGCTTCCATCGACCAGTCGAGCGACGAGGCTCTTGCCTCCAGTCATGATTGCCATCATTCAAAAAAAGGTAATGACGATAAACTCCAAATCGCTTCCAATTTTGTTTAACCAATCAAACTAACCCAAACCCGTTAATCACGAACAGTAGCATGACGACAAGGAATCAGAGTTTAATTGGTGGCCAATCAAAGAATCGATCTCCGTTGCGTGGCCACCTTCAATACTAGCCACATGTCCCTTCAGGAATCAGGGTGGAACACCCCCTTCATGAATCCTTCATCGCGGAGTCATTCGAACACATGAGTCCCATCGGGTCTACCAGTTTGTTTTGCTATAGAAACACACATCTTTAATGCGCTCTTTTCTCAAGGAAAACAAGAAACACAATAAAAGAAACCAAATTAAATGATCGTTACTCAGTTTACACCTCTCTTAACAATATTCGAACAAGTGTGTTCGAAGAACAACGAGGAACTAACAAGGAAGCTAAATTACGTTACCTCTACTCCTATGGGGGTTCCTCTAGAGAGATCCGCTATTACGCTATGATCTACTGGGACTCTGCAAATGAGTTCTTTGACATAGAAGGTCTATGAACTAGAGGAAAAATATAATTTTTTGTGACACTCTTTGTGATTTGATTTTGTCGTCCCGAGCTTCTCTCTCTTCCCGATGCTTATACCCAATCATCTTTCCATATTCGCAGTAACCGCTTCCACTCCATCTTTGTCTCCCACATTCTCCATTTCTCTCAATCGTGCAGATAAACTTCCACTTTGTTGCGTGATACTCACGTGCACACGAAACTTCAGGTATGCAAAAAATTGGTACTTCCTCCGGTTCCTCCTTCAGTCCTCTGCCAACGCCCCGCATTTTCTCGGCTAGCCAACTTCTCCTCCTTGCGACTGACCAGCCTAAAAACCACCCTCAATGAATCTGGCTCGAATACCTTGGCCGCAGCTGCAATCTCGTGTTTCTAGCCTATCATGCATAATCCGACCATAGTCTCTTCCGGAATTCCATTGCACATATTACCTTGCTTCAAGAATTCAGACCTATAATCAACCATATAGTACCAGTATGCTTTAGTTTAGCCAACTGCTCTCGGGCCCATCCCTCTGATCTCCTGAACTAGAACCTCATCTCCTCCTTAAAACGAACCCAAGATACCTCCATACTAGCCTCTGGATAGGACCTTTCAATCCATTCTCACCATTTGTAGCGCATCACTCTCAAGATAAAAAGATGTTGGATGCACCTTCCGGTCCTTCTGGATGGCATGGTACTTGAACCACCTGTTAGCAACATAAATCCACAACCCAACATCCTCTTGCCCATTGAATTTGAAAAACTTGGTCGAAGGATTTACCCTAAAAACCGGTTCACCATCAACACCATAAGCAGAATAATGACCTCCAAACATATCGTCCATGAACCCACCTGGACGACTCTGCAGGTGACCCAGTCGTTAATAATCTCGCCCGTTCGGTGGCGGGAAGGTCCAGCGATCCTCGACCTCAAAGTGATTCTCCACTCTTACTCCTGAGCTTTTCCCATCCTCCTAGTAATGTCCCAGTCGCTTCGCCCTATGCTCCAATGTCTTCCATGGCGGATACGGCCCCTCAAACATTCGTTCCCCTCTTGCTTCAGGAATCGATCCGCCTATCCTCAAACCCGTTGTTCCCTTCGGTCCGAGTAGCCACCGACCAGTTAGATTCCTTACCTCTCGAGCCGGGTTTGATTCGACCAAACCTGGTTTGACCAATTTTGATTTGTTCCGAGTCGTTCCAACGTCTCTTTGCTTGGCTTGCTACCCTAATCAGGTGACCATTGGGCCCAACGACCCACTTATCTGCTCGGTCTTAGGCCAAGCTTACTCATAGCCCACAAAACTCATCTCATCCATCTCGCGAACCGGATTCTCTTTACTGGGCCGCGGCCCAGATGACTCTCATCATCTTCCAAGCCCACCGAGGCATAGCCCAACATCTTTTCCTTTGCCCGGATTGGCGCTACTTTCTTAGTTGTTGTAGCTAGAAACAAGCCTCCAGAATGCTAGCCAGTGCTCTTCCCCGTCGTGGCAGCCATGGTTTCTCTCGTGCCTCCAACACCCTCCACACCGTTTTTCTCCTTGGCGACTGGCTCCACCCCTGTCGGTGCCTGTGGAAGTCCTAGCGCAGCGATCATCCATCTATGTTGCCCGGATCTCCTCAACTGTCGCGTTCAAATTCGCCCACCCGTCTGACAACCTTGCCATCTCGAGCTTCATCTCTGAGTTCTCTATTGCCAACTTCCTCATATCTTTCTTGACCGTGTCTAGGTTTGTTAGGTCTTCCACCTCGACATCCCGCGTTGCAGGGACTATAACCTGCGCAGGCTTCTCCTAGGCAGCTTTCTTTACCTCCTTTTCAACTGCGGTTCTTGACTTAGTTTGCGCCATTGAATTTCTTCGGTCTAGTCCCCAGTTGAGAGTTGTGATGAACTCGATCTTGCAACTAGATTCTGATACCACTGTAAGAAACAAGTCCTAGCAATTCTAGACTTAGGGTTTGTAATTGGGGAGAATTAGAATGACAAAAGGAAAATTAGGGAAGATTGGTAGGTGGGCAGGAAAAGAAGAATTAGAAGAAGAGGAAAAAAGAAAGAGTTGAAGCTCAAGGAGAGAAGTGGTCGGACATGGGGAAAGAGAGGGAGAGCGAGAAAGATGAGAATTAAGTTTATTGTATTTTCTTATAATAATTGCTTAATGGCAAATATCCTTCAACTCACATAATATAAATCTAAAATAATTTTCTTTTGCTATCCAAAAAATTACTTATAACCCAATAGATCAATGATACCTAAAATCCAAAAAAATAAGCAAAGCGATAAACTTAATTAAAATAAAAAATTGGGACAAATCTCGAAATAATACAAATCGCTAATTATTCCCCAAACTCCCAATATTTCTAACAATTAGTAGCTTGAGGATCGAAGCTCACGGAAGCTGAGAAGCTTCTTAATACGTATTTTCCATTTGGTAATTGCTTGAAAGAGAGCCTTTTATTCAAACTTCCAAGAGGAAATCCTTTCATTTTTGGAATTCACTATGGCTTCAAGCATATCCATTGATGCTTTGGTAAAATCATTTCTACTTTCGCGCTCACTACACTTCTTACAGGCTTACAAAAGTCAGTCAGTGTTAATGCAAGATAAACCAAATGAAAATAGAGGGTAAATGCCACATTTGGTCGCTGAGATTATTAAATCGTGTCGTGCTTAGTCACTAGAAAATTTTAATATTAATTTTGGTCACTCGAATAACTGAACCAGGTCACATTTGGTCACTCTTCTGTAACCTCTGTCCAACTCCGCTCACTCGAATTATTGAACCATGTCACATTTAATCACTCGAATTACTGAAACTGGTCACATTTAGTCACTCTAATGGAGTTGGACGAAAACTAACACGAGAGTGATTAAATGTGACCAATTTTAGTAATTCGAGTGACCAAAATTGATATTAAAATTTTCTAGTGACTAAACATTACACGATTTAGTAATCTTAGTGACCAAACGTGACATTTACCCGAAAGATGGTAATCATTAAATTACTGAAGAAGGGAATATTGCAATAACAATGACTTTTGATTATTACAAGATCAATCTCATGAATACAATAACCAGAAGCTACAAGTTGTTGTAAGTAGTCAACGAAGTAGTTTAATTCCCCCCTCCCTCGTCGGCAGAGATATAAAAGCAAATGAAAACTGCAGAACCCTATAGTGTAAGCCAACTAAGACCCAAAATTGGCTGAAACCTTTATAGGAAGATAGCCAAGGTTCCAACTAAATCTCACTTGAACTAGCTACCGCTCTAAGAACAAACCAGTTCTCTCTTGACGGTCAAGAAAATAATTTTAGTAATTCAAGCTGCTGGTATGATTACGCAAATTGCCAATACTGCACAGCTATACAATACAGCAACACAACCTCCTTTTGAACTTCAGTTGAGCTTCCATAATAAAACACACACACAGTCGTGTATTAGAAAACAGTGATCCCACATACCACAGGATATGGAGTAACTGTATTGCCAACTGATTTCTCGACTCTGTTATCATTCATTCATTCACAGGCTGGTTTGGTATCAAAGCTGCTGAGGCAGAGTGCAAATGCTTGAAATGCAGAAAGCGGGTAGCTATAGTCCATGCTGAATATGTCTTTACCAATCTTCCCAAACTGTAAAAGGACCCTATCGTGTTCTGCAGCTGGCACATTGTGGTGGTGGGGCTCATATGCCGCAATAAGTTGGAAATTCTTAACGGAAGCAACTGTAACTCGCCCCCTGAAGTTCAAGCACCAACATTGAAGCTGCTCGTGCCACCTGGGAGCCCTATTTTTGAGGATTAAAGGCTCTCCTAGTGAGCCAGGGATTACCATTGGTGACTCTGATGGGCTGTTGGTGGAACTGATATCTGACCCTGCTCCTCCACTGCTTCCTTTGAAGACTGGTGAAGGAGAGAACTGCTGTTCATCAGCTGCTGTCTCTGGCAGTGATGCTGTTGTTGGGACACTGCCACCTTCCTCCACGGAAGAGACTGGGATAGAGTTCATGACACAATGCATTCTTCTCGGCCCTCTTGTGCGGAGGACGTTCAGCTCGTAGTTGATTGTGCCTATGGTGTAGCTAGAGCTGGGTGTTCGAGAAGATGGCTGTCTGGAATGGAATCCATTGCGGCTTGTCCGCTTGCCAGATTGTGTTGGAGCTTCATATGAAGATTGCCTATCCAATATGGTGAACTTAGTCCCCAGGAAGTTTGACCTACATGGATTGATTCAAGATAAATGGACTGCCACGCTAATAACTGATTCAACTAAATGGTGTCTCAGGTTGATCAAACAACCAACTTCTCAATCGAATGCATCCTCCCAACTTCTAAAATTAACTTTCAAAATCTAGTTTTTGAATTTACTTACACATAAGAGACCACCTAATCATTTCACAATCATTTACTTATTTTCGTTCTTTGTTTCAAACACATCCACTTCTGATATATGCTTGAGTCGTCCAATTGGGACCAACTAGTAAAAATAAATAGGATATCGAACTTGCCTGAGTCTTCCAATGTAGTTGTTGCTGGAGCGAGAAAAATCATTTGCAACCAGAGATATAATGAAATCCGTGCAAGTTGTCCTTCTGATTCTCTTTGCTACCAAAAGCAATTTATCCTTCTTGCCCTCAGCTGCAAAACAAGAAACACCATTGTTTAGGTTAAGGGCCACCTAATGTCATTTCAAGAGAACGTGTATTCTACAGAGCTTTCTGGGTACTTGGGATTCTTCTTACAAAGATGGGACGGCAGCCAACAAGGTATCACCTGCTGAAGCGTATCCCTCTTTGTTAAATGAATCCGCTATAGTACATTGAGCTTATAGAGAACTTTGATCCAGAGCGTAATAGTTGAAACACTATGGGTATTTGAAAACCACTCAGACCACAATTGCCATCAATAGTAGACGAAATAAGAGGGTGAAAGAATCGACAACTTACAAGGCATTAATCCGGAATACAACAGAAACGTGGAGGTCAGAGGATCCCTTCTGATGTAGCACTGTATTGGAGACTCACGAGGACCCGGCTATTTCAAAACCAACAATATTTTAACCAATTAGATCAAACAAATTAAACTGAAATCACGTAAATCCTATGAGAATATTGGATTAGACTAGAGCATTCACCTGTTTCAATGAGATTGGGAATGTAAGCCTCCCACACTGTTCAGGAGTCTGCACAACTTCCCTTGTAACTTCTCTCCATGACTTACAAACTGAAGCACAATGAACAACAACAGCACGAGCAGGCCACGAGGTCTCGGTCTCTTCCACCCTCCTGATGATGTCCAAGAGCAATTCAGGGGGCAAGTTGGCCCACTGGCCTTGCTCCATGGATTGTTCAGATTCAACCATTGAAGTTTCATCAGGAGCTATATGTGACCGTGCCCTGCCTCTCCACCGCTTTCCTTCACCACCTCGGCCAGACCTACTCCCAACCCCATCTTTCATCTCCTTCAGCTCACGAACAATGCTCTTGAATGGCATCCTTAACTTGCACATTTCGGACAAGGAGAACAAAGATGAGCAAAACACAATCCCAACGCCAATTCAAGATCTATGCGACTGGGTGAACCCAAAACTAAATCAGCCCCCCTCGACAAAAAGAAAGGAAATTTAAGAGCAAGACAACTTGGATTGGCCACTAAAACAAGAAAGGTGCTCTCTGTTCTCAGTTGCAAGGGTTGTTTCCAGAACTGGAGGGGGGGAAATAAGGAACTCAAGAGAAGTACTACATTGTTAAGCACGACTGTTAAGCAGGGCAGGACAACATTTCTCCACCAAAGAGACGAAAGGGGAAAATGCCAGGACCTGGAATATTCGTTGTTTATCGAAACTTCTGAACTCCCTCCCCTTTTTGTTCTCGTCGAAACAGAACAGTCGCCCAGAAAAACAGACCCCGTAAGACAAGACGGAGCGAAACGAAAAGGAGAACAAATGCAAGCAGAACTCCACAGAACCATGGGCCCAAAAATAAGATAACAAATTAGAAAACTGGAAACTGGGTCGATTCGAACACAGAACTAGAACAAAAACAAACAGGAAGAAAAAAAGAGACCAACCTCAATAAAACGTAATCGCAGAAGCGAATCGGCTCAATCGAGATTAAATCTGTTTGATTTGCTGAGAATCGCGGAACGCTGGGAAGCTTCTGAAGTAGAAGGAAGAGCTGGAGTTCATATGAGGTGGAAAATGCGACGGTGGCGAGCTTTTACAATAGCACTGCCAGAACGGCGGCGACCAGCAGCTCCACCGGAGAGTTAATTTACGTTACGAGTGAGGTCTCTGCCCTGACTCGGAGCCACGCACCAGATGTGTGAGTGGGTGAAGAGGAGGGGGGACGTAGCCAGGGGAGTAAGAAGGCGGACAAGTGATTGAAAAACAAGAGACGAGAGGAGAGAGGTCCCCCCGATTTCGGCTGCCATAACACGGATCGCCTCTTCATTCTCCTTCCACTTCTCTCCTCCTCGCCATTTTCTTGGCTTTGAAAAATTCTGCAAATCCGTTTCAGAATCACATCAATTAAAAATAGATAGATGGTCCGTCCGTTCATATAAAAATAAATAAATAAAAAAGGCGATAATTAATTAAAAATACGCAATTCGAAATTAATTAAAAAGGGAGACTGGGACCTGGATCGGCAGAAGGCTATTTTTACCCGAGTTTTTGGTTTTGCAGGGACAGGGAATCCAGCCACCCAAGGCGGATGCGGGCGAAGACGTAGCGGTATGGTGTCCTGAAGCGGACGAGCGATTCCAGGTCTGATCAGCCTATGAGATCGCGACCAGCCAGGAGATCGCCGAACCGGGGTTTGACTGGAGGAAGATATGGCGTTGGCATGGCCCGGCTCGAGTTCAACACTTCCTCTGGCTAGCGGCGGCGACGACATCTTTCGATATATACGTTGTGCTCTCACTGCTCTACACTTCCAGAAACAGTCCTGCATGAGTTGCGGGATTGTTAATTTATCAGTTTAACTTGGATGCAACTGTTCCAACCTTCTGAATACCGAATACCAGCTGTTTTCAGGCTTTTCTTGCAGGAATGGATCACGAAACACCTCATCTATGAGGATCTCAACTAGCGATTTAGCCTCGTATGTTGGTCCCTGTGGAGGACTAGGAATGATTGGGTTTTCGCGAACAAAGTCATGTCGGTTGAAGACTTTCTTCAACGCTTCCAGTCTTGGATAACTGTCGTGAATACTTCCTTGGATAGGGACATGAGCATCCATATACCTGTCTCGCCCACAAGAACGAAGGAGCTGATATGCTGGGAGTCGCCTCCTCTAGTCCTCTTGAGTGGGTCACTCTCAACTCAGACGGCTCCGTACTTCATGATTTAGGTCTCGCTGCTGCAGGAGGCCTAATAAGAGATTATCTTATGTGCTGCTCTGCAGCCTTCGCTATTAACCTGGATATATGCGCTATTACCCGGGCGAAGTTGAGAGGCGTTGCTGGAGGACTTCAACTGGCGTGGGACATGGAATTTAGACGTGTCCGGGTGGAGATGGACTTCCGGTGTGCAATCCAACTCATACAGGGCTCGACCACCGCGGACCACCAGCATGATGCAATCATTGCACGTATTAGGACACTACTGCAGAAAAAGTGGGAAGTCTATATCTCCCGTATTTACATAAGGGTGATCATGCTCTGGTGCGCCCATATTTATAATGTCGAAGCACACTCTCTAATCAATCCTAACTAAGCCAAGTATAACCTAACTAGGGTTGTAGTAAAGTGGCTCGGTCATATTACAAGTGATCTCTAAGTGTATTATCACTTCGCTTCGAACTACTATCTAATCGGGATGGAAGTTTGGTGAGGGGTTTTAAATAAATTAACCTACTCCTAATGCAAAATAAACAACCAACCAAGTGGTTGGGAGAACGCTAGAGATGGTTGCCTAAAGTCGAATCCTTCTAGTTAAGGTTGTAAAGTAGGGTTAATCGAATGTGGTGAATGATCTCTTTGCCGTGGACTTTTGTGGTTATCCACACACCTCCGAGTACGCCTCCCCTAACCCATGTTCCAGTCACCTCGATCTAGACTATCGTATCTGGGACATTAAACTTATGGATCATTTCAATGGACACTATCCACCGTCCAAGGTTTCATCTCGGGTTTCATCTAGGAAGGCTACTTATAGCAGGGGTTCGGTCGCCTCGACCACTACAGGCCCCCATTCACACATCTAACCAAAACTCACCAGATGGCGCATACCCGGCTAAACTCGACCACTATAGGTCTCCTTCACGAGATCACGTCCACGATCTTTTGTGTCCCAGCGCGATCTTTATCGCAGCAAAAACGCAATGACCGCGATCTGTGTGAGGAAACTCTCTGCCTTCTTCTTGGTCGCCTATTGGAGGTCGCTGCAACATGATAGAAAAATCAATGGGGAATGCACCCTAGTTCTTTATTGCATAAAGAAGAGTAAACAGAGATGAATGAACGCTACTATATTCTCACTGTGTAATCACAAACTCGCGGGTGAGGACTATACCTACTACCTTAGGCCGGACATACAAAGTGTGTTTCGGGGGATTCTCTGACACTAATAAGAGCACAAGAACTCACGAAGATGATTTTTATTCTTTCTTACGATTACGAGTTGTCGTTTATTAGTCTCATTTTTCCACGTTGACGCATATTGCACCAAGCTTTTGCAATTCTTTTTGCAAGCAAACCTCTCACCCTCATGGCTATAGGTGTCAATCGGGCGGGTTTGGGCGGGGTTCAATTGGGTTGTGGGTTAGTCGGATTTCAGGTTCATCGGTTTGCAGGTTCATTGGGTCGAGTTCAATCGGGTTGCGGGTTCATCGGATTCAGGTTCAATCGGGTTGCGGGTTTATCGGGTTTCAGATCGGGCGAGTTGCGGGTGGATCGAGTTGCGGGTTTTTCGGATCAACGCATATGTGGAAAGTATTTACTTACAGCCACAAATTAAAAGGTGTATATGACACAAATAATTCAAAACTCATATTCAAGTTAAACAAAAACTTAGAATAACTAACTCCATGAACATTCAAGTGATGAAACGAAGTGGTGTAAGATATGTAATTATGTATAACTTCAATACGTACATTGCTCGAGCTTAAGTCAATTTAAGCTTATAAAAGAACTTAATTGTATGTTTGCAAACCAATTTGATTAGCTACTCATTATCAAGCTCCTAACTGGCCTACTATTTGTCATATATCTTGTAGGTTGTTTATATTACACACCTTTGAACTTACTGACTTATAGTTAGTGATGTAACTCGTAGGCTAGTTATACTACATATTTTAGGATTTAATGTGGTTTGAAATTATGTATATGTGGCTAACAGTTATTGCATATATGACTTGTGTATCATATCTTAAATTTATACATGCTAGACACACATATTACATAGATATCACTAATCAAATACGAGTTACTTACTGAGTAACATTTAGACTTTGAGGTTTTGTATATGAATTGGTTTGTTGTACAGTGGTGATATTTGTAATGAGTTTTGTTTAAATTGATCCAATCCATTGCCGGCTTCTCTAAATAATTAGCAACCTAGTTAAGTTTTTATCCCACTCGTCAGTTACATAAAATGAATGCGGTCTTACAAATGGCGATCAACACAGTTGCTATTTCACTACTTGATTTGAATTGCTAGGCAAAACGATTTTGTCTCGAGATTTACTTCGGTTAGCATTTCTTGTATCCAACCAGTGACCCAATCATGAATTTATTTGAGTTGAACCTTAACCCAAAATTTGGGGTGTTACATCAACTAAACAAACACATTCATTCATTCATAACCCAAACATTCACAACCTACAACTAGGGTTCATCTACCCTAAACAACCACTAGAGATTCAAGTTAGTAGAGACAAGAAGAAAATACAAACTAGAAGAGGGGAATGACGGAATCAAGCTTCTTCTCCTTGCTTGCACCTTCTCCTTGCTCTTTTGGTTGAATGGATCTTCAATGAAACTCTCCCAAGGTGTTTCCTCTCTAAAGCACTTCAAAACCCTAATTTGCTCACACCAAGGCGACTCTCTTTTGAAAAAAGCAGCAAGAGGGATATTTATAGAAAGCTGACGGCGGTCAAGGCCTTCAAGGCGTGACTCGATGGTCATGGCCGTGACCTTGGCGTGACTAGGGCGTGACCAGCTTGAACGTCTCCGAATCGCCCAAAATGACCCATTTTTTTCCTGTCTTTATGTTGTGAGATCGTGACCTCCTTCACGAGATCATGGCCGTGATCTCTTGTATCCCGGACGAGATCTTTATCGCGGCCAAAATGCACCATGACCACGATCCGGGTGACGAATCTCTATGTCTTCTTCTTGGTCGCCTGCTGGAGATCGTGGCCACTGATCGCGACCACGATCACAGGCCGCGATCATCGTCTCAGTCTGGTCAAGGGCAGTGACCTATGGCCGTGACCAGTGCCTTTTTCCCTTCTTGCTCCTGTGCTTACCAATCGTGCTCGGATGAACTCCAATCAATTCCCGGTCAATACCAAATGAATATAAGACCTAGAATTTCATCACAAACACTTGGAAAAGCATAAACTACCACAAATTGGGGTCGGTTCCCCTATGAAATCTTCATATCATGAATACCTATACCAAAATGCATGTTTTACAAATAGGAACGAATATGGGCATAAATAACTTTATATGTGGCCTAGACACGATGAATTAGCATGCAAATGCCTTGAGAATAAGGGCTAAATAACGCCTATTTTAGATGTTATCAATTTTCTTGCTACGAGAGGCCATTCGCTTGAGCTGGGCTTTCATTTTGTTTCTATTTTTTATCTTGCTTTGTTACACTAGACATTGTATCACATTCAGCGGATTTCTGAACCTCGACTGGTTTTGAATGAACATTTAGATGCATCACATCCATTTATAAAAAGGGAAATCAAAACTAAAAAAAACAATTAAGATGCTCTATAAAAATGAATTAAATCACAAATTCTATCTATCAATTTTTTTTAGTAAGTGATGATAATCAATCAAGATGAACCCAAGGGTCACTACATCAACTATTATAAGCGCTACAATCGATGGAAGACCTAAGCTAAATCAAGATAGTGCAACTGGCTTCGTAGGTCTATCTGGTTCGTCTTCATGAAATAGGAAAATGCTCACAGCAATTCTTGACGAAAATCCAGTCTCGACATCAGCGTTGTTCCCTTCAGGGCATCTGCTAGATCCTGCCCCTCTGCTTTGCAACTCCAGTACGTTAGTGTCTCCACGAGGATGGAATTGACTCCCTCCTTGATGGAGATTGATTACACCTAAATTGGTGTTATTTCCCTTCGTATTGAGGTTTATTTGGTGTCAATTCATGTGCATAATCGTTTGAATAGCATCAATTACATCTCTATTTCGTTCTTATTTGATTATGATGTGTTTGCATGGTGCTTTAGACAATATATGCGAATTAGGTACAAAAAATGACACAAGTGTAGGAAAAGGGGCAGAATACTGATGATCGTGGCCTAGAGATCACGGTCGAGAAAAAATACGATGAACTCAAGGCAAAGATCGCGGCCTGATGGCCTAATATCACAGTCGCGATCTTAGAGGCTGAGGGTGCGAACTTCGTGAAGAAGCCAGCGAGGAGAAACAGAGAGTTTCCCCAGTCCTTTTACGACCATAGTTCATATTGACCGCGAGGAAGTTCGCGGTCGCACTTCATGGATCATGACGGTGAAGTCAGCCTGTGAACTCCTCGTGCCCGAAGGCCAAAATGGCAGCGTCAGCAGATCAGAGCCTAAAAGGTGGAAGATCGCGGCCGCGATCTTCATGCTATCCGGCGAAAAACTTCTCCGTCCTCTGAAGGCTATAAATAGAAGACTCCCTTCCCCCATTCAAGAGAGCTGATTTGGAGATAGAAACTCTGGTAAGAGAGAGAAAGAAGAGGGAGAAGCTGAAGGAAGCAGAAGAGGAGAATAAGGACGAGGATCTATAAGAGAGGAGCCATCTTCCTCAACATCGTGTCTTCCCCAATTTCTTCTATGGATCTTCTTCCCTCATTTA